AATATGAAAAAGAAAAAAAAAACAAAACAAAACCCCACAACACAATTAAAAATTCTACGCTTCGTCGTTACAAAAAAAAAAATAGCATAAACCAAGCTGTAGCACACGCAGGGTGCTGATCTGGAGCAGCCACTGCTCTGACCTCGGGCAAGGGAAGTGACCTCTCACTGCTATAGAAAACCGAGGGAGTTAAGGTTTGGAAAAAGGACAGGTCGCTGAAGGTTTGAAATGGTTTTTTTTTTGTTTGTTTGTTTTGTTTTCATTTGTTTTTTGTTTCTTTTTTTTTTTTTTGTCTTTTTTTTTTTTCCCCCGTGTACGGTAGGCACCAGTACAGGCACTGCATGCGACGGAAGTGGGGAGGAAGGTGGTGGTGATGGGGGGGACGGTCAATAGGCGTTATTTCTGTCCGCTGATGGACTGCGATATAGAGCGGGGTGGGATCATATCCAAAAGGTATTCCCGCTGCCGGTCCGCCAAACTCGATGCTTTGTGGCCTCCGATCCCAGCATTCAGGTAAGCGATGTTAACACCTGGAGAGGGGAGAGAAAAGCAGGTGGGGACTCCTCCTCCTCTTCTTCCTCCTCCTTCTGTACTAGGAGGTCCCCGTTTTGTGACCGCTCCCAGCTTTTACCTGGGAAGCAGTAATTTAACCCAAACCCACCCTCCGAAATCCGTGGAGATCCGCGGGGCCTCTGCGGCAGCGGGAAGGGAAGCGCGACGATCGCCATGTGCTGGTGGCAATATGGCCAGCCCCTTCCCAAAAACCAAACCAGGGAGACCGCCCGCCACGGACAGCTGGGGTGCCTGCGCAAAGTTGGAAAGCATGGAGCGGGCAGAGGTGGGGATGCCACGCTGCAAAGTGCTCTGGGGCTGCGGAGCCTGAGGAAGAGGAGAACAAAGATGGTAAGAAGGCACCGGGCTCATCCGGCAGCCTGGAAGCAGTCGCTGATGAAGCGGCAGCCAGAGGATGAAGAATCCGCTGTGGTTTTTGGCCGGTACGTGGAAAATGCAGTTTGGATACGCTCTCGTAGAGGTACGTCATCAGGCAGCAGAGTCCGGGGCCGTGCTGCGGGCTCCCCCACCGGACGGCACAGGATCGGCAGGGGAGGAATCCCGAAGGGAAGGGGTGGGAGAGGAGACCAGCAGCAGCTATGGCTCTGCTGGCGTGAGGAAATGGGGTGCCTGGGGTTAAAAGCAACCCTGCATACCCAGGAAAAGGGGCAGCCAGACCCCAAAGCTGCTCTAAGAGGGAAGGCAGCGGGGATGCTCGCAGCTCCCTCCTCGTCAGCGAGCGCTTGCTGTGCCCACCCCGCTCCGAACCGGGAACGTGTGTCTGGGCTACAAGCGAGGGGTTGCGTGCTCCGGCTCGGCCGGGAGCCCAGCGCCGGAGCTGCGGAAGAACGGGCGCCGCGTA